AGCATGCAGTATCTAACACAGGAGCCAGATCTACCAGATCTACCAGGCCTTTTTATTTTTATTTTTTGAGAGTACAGTTATTAAAGCTGGAGACAGTGAAACAAGGAAGGAAGGGCTTAGGATAGAAGAAGCACCAGGAGAGCCCAGGGTGGATATGCTGTCGGCTCACTGGGAAGTTAGAGAAAAGGGACCTTAGAGATCAAGATCACGAGGTCAGCTCAGGATGACCTGCCGTAGCCCACTGTTCCCCTAGTTCTAAGTCTTGTGGGCACCCTTAAGAGTTTAGGAGATAGCACGCTTGAGAGAGAAGAAAGGTGTGGGTGTGCCACTACCAAGCCTATCTTAAACACCAGCCCCCTCCTCCCTTGCCCTATAACCCCACAGAGCTAGATGTAATTCCCCACCCCCCAGGCCAAGGGAAACATACTCTGCTTCTAGAACAGTGCTCATTCTGCCTGTGTTGCACTGGCATGCAAAATGTCCACCTATCACATGCCGAGCACCAAGGGAGCTAAATTTCCTGCATGTTTGCCTCAGGTGCCTTGTGCATGGTTGATGCTTAATGTTTCAGAGTCTGGAATTCCTGCTCAAAGATCCTTCCAAACTAGCTTTCCAGAGAAGTGCCACCTGAAGGTAGTCAAGTATGTCTGGGCGCGGGCAGTACTCCACTCAGTGCCTAGCACCTATGCCAGGTGAGTGCCTGGCATGGGGCAGCTCGCAAGGTCCTTCAGAAGGTATACACCAGGGAACTGTGGGAAAAAAAATGGACCACTGCTACCACCTGCTCTGAATTGTTACACCCAAGAAGTTGGTGAGTCCTTTCATTCTCTAACCAGTAATTTAAAACTTTACACCTTTGTAAAGCCTAGGTCCAGTTTCCTTGCCCAGGGTGCCAATGATTGACAAACATGTGTGTTGGGCGGCTTGCTCTGGGTGGGCTGGGAAACAGTGACATTTAAGGAAGTTAGGGAATGCCAAGGAGCTGACCAGCCTGCAGCGACCACCTCACCTCACCTCCTCTGTAAAGCAGTTCCCTTGTCACTTAAAACATGCTTATCAATCAGCTCTCTACTTGCACAGCAGAGGCAAGAAAGCCCTTCTGTGTGTTTGTTTCTTAAACTCATAGCATCCACCCCACTGACACACTGAGACAGGAACAGGGCTTGTGGTACGACATTGTGCCACCCACCAAAGGACCACAAGATCCAGCACCAAGAGAGCCTTCCTCAGCCATTTACTGGTAGTGCCCCAAATTATAACACTAAGTCCAAGGGTTCCACTACAGAGGCTCTCAGGTCACTCCCAGCCTGGCAGTTCTCCCTGTGAGAAACAGTAACACCACATGCATGACAACTGAGCACCACCCATAGTAAAAGGAGCTACACTCTACTGAACTGGAAGCATTTGGCAGCCACCCACCCATTTCTCCCCATGAGGCCCTGAGAAAGACCATCCTAGCTGACTGACCTGAGCCAGTGACAGAGCCCCCAGGCCTTCCCTCTAATCTTGAGAGAAGACAGACTCTCTACCTCTCTGCTTATGAGTAGGGCCAGGCTCAATGCCCAAGTTCTACCCATCTGAATGTGACTACACCAGAAGACATCAAGTCAACCGGGTACCCACCAAGGCCACATCCCTGATATCTGGGAAGTGCCTGGGCCAAGATGCTCCCCTTTTCATCTGTCACCAGCTTGTCCTTTGCTCTTTTTTAAAGATTTTATTTATATTCCGAGAGGATGGAAGGAAGGGGAAAAGAGAGCCAGAGGACATCAATGTGTGAAAGGAACATCAATGAGCTGCTTCTCACGTGACACCAACAAGGGACACAGATGCAACCCAGGCATGTGCCCTCACCAGGAATCAAATTGACAACCTTCTGGCTCACAGGCCAGCACTCAATCCACTGAGCCACCCAGCCAGGACCAGCTTGTCCTTTACCAAGACAAGACCCTATAGCTACTCTGGAGCTGCTCCTCCTCAGCCTGAACAGTCCTCTGGGCTAGGCCTCAGGCTGAGCTCCCAATGGATCGGGATCTCCCTGCCCTAGAGAACACAGATTTAGAAATTCACAATGCAAGTGGGTGGGCTATGACAGTTTAAACGGGGAGGAGGTGTAGTGAGACTGCTACAGGTGTGTACACGATGCTCCCTGAATGTCAAATCAGCCAACACCTAAGCCCTGAGGGATGGCTAGGTTAACCAACTTTCAGTGTGTACATGTGGGTCATTTGCAGGGTAGGGTGTAGATCAGAAGCTAAACATGATAGATGGGAAAGCATTCCCTACAAAGGCCACACTGTTCCAAGAGCCCAGGACACAAGTCCAAGGAGAATAGTTGGAACTGCAGGTGCTTTAACATAAGTGAGGAGTAGAAGAGATTAGGGTAGATTGATAGGCAAAGCCCAACAAAGAGCTTGGATTTTATTCTGTAGGCAACAGACAGGCCTGTGCCTCAGCTGCCTGGAGAAGCTGGGGAGCACCCTCCTACTCCTCATTAGCCCTCTCACACCACAGCTCTGTGTCTGCCCTCCAGCCTAGTCCCTGGCTGGCTCTTGGGACCACTCAAGTCAGAAGGTCAAAGAGCCTTAGTCACCCATAGTAGCCATCCTCTGAGGTCAGACCACTGCCAGGGGCCCAGGTGGCTAAGAACTTCTTGGAAGAACTGGGTAACAGTGCAGACATTTCCGTCCACCAAAGAGCATCTAGGCAGCCAGGTATGGGAGCCACCATTCAAGAAGGCAACAGCTGATGCTCTGGCTATGGACACCTCCATTTGTACCTCCAGGGAAGATTTCCCTGAGATAAGCTATTTTCAGAAGCTTGGGGGGAACACCTGGGAAATTGCAGCTCTGGTTCTGTATCACCCTGGGAGTTCCTCTCTAGTTCCTGGCCTGGGTGGACTACCCAGGCGGCAGTTGGTGGTGCCAGGTAGAAACTAAGAAGAAATGAATGGCACTCTGGGCTCCATCACTTCCAGGTTCTAGGTTTTGGCCTGTGCTGAGAACTACAAGACAGATAAAAAACCTTCTTCTGATGAATTGTGGGAACATTTTTTGGTTAGAGGAGAGAGGCTACCAGATGCCAAGCTGACCTATGCCTGGAGCTCCCAAACATGCCCAATGCTCTGCTTGCATCACAGGTCTAAATCATCACCTTTAACACAGAGGCTCAAAGTTCTGACTTGATGGAGTGGCAGAGCCACACCAAAGAAACTTCCCATCACATTATTCTAGAGTTCTAGGCCCGAAGTTATCAACTGAAGTTAGACAAATAGAATAAAATAAGGCAAGTTAAGGAAATACTTAAAGAGAGCCCCCAATGACTAAACCTGGAACAAACTGAGAATAAAATAAGTACCCACGAGACCATACTGATGTAAGTAAATGATTAAATAAAGATATAAACAAATGGGGGAGAAGTCACTCCTGTGCAGAATTCTAAGTAATCTGTGTGGCTACTTCTCCCTTAAAAAGAGCTACCTTCCCACTTCATGTGAGCTGCACACAGAGACCTCATCCTGAGGGTACGGAACGGATGGGAGAGCGGTTTAACTCTGGAATGCAGAAATCTGGCGAGCACAACCTCAGCCAAGTGATCATTGTCAACATCAGCAGTGTTAAGTCTTGTGCTCTGGACATGACACCGAGGAGAAGGGTGCTTTATACCTCTGCAGTCTTCCTCCTCAAAACCTATAACCCCAATGTAACCATGAGAAAAATATGAGACAAATCCCAATTGAGAGATATTAAAAAAAAAAAACACCTGACCAATGTAACCATGAGTAAGGCAAGTCTGAGAAACAGTCACAGCCAAGCAGACTAACTAAGGTGACATAACAACTAGATATAATGTGGAATCCTACAACCAAAAAAAGACATTAGGAAAAAACTAAGGAAATCTGAATAAGTACAGACTTCAGTTAAATAATCATGGGTCAACATTGATTTCTTGATTATAAAATAAGATGTTAACAGGAGACATGGGCTGTGGAGGACATGAAACCTCTTAGCACTAGCTTCACAATTTTCTGTAAATCTAAATCTGTTCTAAAAAATAGTTTATTAAAAAAAAAAAAAAAAAGACGGCAAACTATAGGATGTTCTGTTCTAGCCTGGGTCTCAGCACTAGTCTTGCTCTGCTCACTAACGTCTCATCTGACCCTGCACTCTAATCTAAAGGCAGGCGTATCATGACTCAGTGTCTGCCTGGCCCAGTCTATTCACCCCATGAACAGAAAGAAAAAAGTGCCAGTGAGGCTGGTTGTGGCAATGTTGGTCAGTATATCTCTGACTCCCTGGCCAAAGAGGAGGGACAGCCACAAGCTATGCACCTGCGGAACACTGCTGCCTAACCTCACACCTTTGTTTCCTACCTTCACTCCCTGCTCCTCTCAAAAGTGAAAACCTAGGCATTTTAAAAGTAGGCTGCAAAGGCACAGTCTAAAAATAATCCGCAAAAACACGTGACAAATAAGAATGAAGGAGGTGGGGAAAAGAAGGGGGGGGTCTGGAAAAGTGTTCCCCAAATCCTGTCTTAAGACTATTCCCATAAGAACATTAGCAGCATGTGCTTTTGTTCAGTCCTAAGCTCCCTATAGTTAAACAGCCACGTAACTTACTTTTCTAAGGAAGAAAATATACTTTATCCTCACAGAATTCAATTAAAAAAAGAAAAAAAGACCTACATCCTTTTTCTTCTCTCAGGCTTTAGGCTGCCATGCTATTGATACAAAGGAACCAAGTTCTAAGTCACAGGTGGCAAACACAAAGCCATGGGCTGAATGTGGCCCAACACCTTGTTTCTACCCAGCAGCAGTGCCGAGCTCCTTGCCCCTAGTTAAGGAATAATTATATTTATACAGTCCTAAAATTACCTCTGGCCCTTGAAGGCAACCACAAGGCTGATGTGGCCGCTCGTGAAAATGAGTTTGACACCCCTGTTCTAAGGGAACCCAGACCCACATCTTCAGACAGGCAGGCCTGCAGGTACCAGCCACTTACTTCCTGAGGATGATGACTGCTCTGCGCTCCTTGATGTCCTGAGGCCGTATGCAGTGAGTGATTTCATCAGCAGCATATCCACTGTGGGGGGGAGGGGGGAGAAAGAAAGAAAACAGTATGTGAGATGGAGAGTAGACAGACAATCAAGATTCCTGGGGCATAGGGTGGTGAAGAGAAAAAAATATGGTTCAGGTCTTAGGTGGCCCTCTGCCCAATTATTTGAGAGGGTCCAGGATCTACATGGAAGGCAAATACCATGTTAAGCTCCAGAATACTTCTGTCCAGAAACCATGCACAGAAACCTTAAGGCAGAAGCCAAAGCAAGAATCTCCTGGTACAGGATAGAAGGCCTTCTTATAAAGGGCCTTTGGAGGCAGCTGGAGTGACTCAGGCCAGACTATGGTGACAAGAAAAACATCTCCTCTTCCCTCCCTCCCCCACCCTTCAGCTTGCTGAGGAAGCCAAGGTAGATGCAATGTTCAAAAAGAGATCGTCTACTTGAAATATACCTTTCAAACAACCTCCATGTGGGGGGACTCCAAAATCTTGAAGACAGCTGTGTTTCAAATATTTTAAGAATTTCCATCACACTCAACTATTTCCATCAAGATACACGACTTTTAAAACTGCTCACCGACCAATGAATGTAGATGGCTGTCCTCTTCACAGCTAATGTCTCCCTGATCTGGTGTCTGGAAGCAAACTCAACTTTCCAAGCCCCCTCATATGCCCTTCATTGGGCATGTAGCACCCCAATTTCCTCCACTTAGCTGAGGCAGCTTTATTCAGCCAGAAACATACTCGGCAGCAGGCCTGGACGGAGGGGAGTGACTTCTCTGCCTTCTCCTCCTTCTCAGGACTCCCTTGATCACCCCAGACCATAAATCTTCCTCTACATGGCTTCTTGTCAGCTCCCTTCTCAAGGGCAGCTGTAAAGACATAAGCTTAACCATCACAAACGCTGTAGGCCAGCCTGCCCCACTGTGGGCAAGATGCAAGAGCAAATAAAAAAGTTTGAGAGGGAAGCACCTCTGAACTGGAAATCTGATTTGATGTCACATTGTGGGTAGTGAAAATAACCTCTATTTTATGGATTTCCCCTCATAGCTGTTCCTAAACCAGTTTTTCAGTTTTCTCTGTGAACATTAGTCACTCAAGAGACTATGGACAAATGCCCACAGTCAAATCAATTTGGAAAATGTTAAGGAGTTTACAGATCTGGGAATTACTATAGCAAAAAAATCTGCTTTTACTGAGCACTGACCAAAGAACCTTCTCTCAAATAACACCCATTAATGTTTGTAGCATGAAAATGCCCACAGGAGTTGAGGAGTTGAAGAGACTTGAATTTGAACCTGAGCTCTGACACCTGCTAGCTTTCTGACCTTAGTTAAGTCACTTGGTTAGGCCTAAACCTAAGTTTCTTCATCTGTAATAGGTTCTGGGTGTTCATTTTGTTATGCTTTATAACTTAGGTATTCCTTTACGGCCACTAATGATTATAAGATTTTAATATTTAAAAATTTATTTATTGCCCTGGCTGATGTGACTCAGTGGATTGAGCGCCACCCTGTGAACCAAAGGTTGCTGGTTCTATTCCCAGTCAGGGCATATGCCTGGGTTGTGGGCCAGGTCCCCAGGAGCGGGGCACTTGAGAGTCAACCACACATTGATGTGTCTCTCCTTCTTCCCTTCCCCTCTCTAAAAATAAATAAATAAAATCTTTAAAAAATATTTACTGATTTTATGGAGAGTTAGGAGGGGGGAGACAGAGAGAAACATCAATTTGTTGTTTCATCCATTCATGCATTCACTGGCTGATTCTGGTATGTACCCTGACAAAGGATTGAACCCACAACCTCTGCATATTAGGATGATGCTCTAACCAACTGAGCTACTCAGCCAAGAGGTGGTTATAAAATTTTAAAAGGGGAACAGTACCTCCTCCCTTCCAGGCAGAATTACAGAGTTATAAGACTACATGGTTGGCATCTCTGGAAAGAAGCAGTGAGAGGCCAACCTACAGAGCTGCTGTGAGAATTAAGTTAGATAATGCAGGGTGCCTGGAACCCCACTCTCATTTATTAAACATCTGACACAAACCAGAGGGCCCTGGACCACCCTGGGGCAATCCAGAGCCTCGGGTTCAGCACCTGCCAAGAAGATGTGATCCAGGCTCCCCATTCAGGGATCTGCCAGCAGCAGAGGCCTCCTCAGGCCTATTCCCAAAGCTAGAATCTTTAGGTATCCTCCTAGGTTCTTGTTACTCCACACTGAGGGAGTGCAGGGCAGTCCCACAGAAACACAGGACTTCCTCAAAGAGCTAAATCCAATCCCCCAAAGGTGCTCCAAGGCACAGTTATAAGGCTTAAATCTGCAGTACTGGCTACAGGCCACCTTCCCTACTGTTAACAAGTGTTACTGATCTGACTTTACTACGGGCACTGTCAATGGCCCTGACTTTCCATCTCCAACAAAAAAACCCTTCTGTTAATACAGTCCTGGAGAAAATCCAGATGTTTATCAAAGTTTAACAGTCCCTGCACCCCAAAGGGCTCTAGAATGTTAAACAAACCACGCCAGGTTCTTGCCATGGAGCCTAAGCCTCAGAACTAGTGAAGAGGTGGGACTGCAGAGGCCTACAGAAATGACCGTGCTACTGGGCCCCCTGAAAAGCTCATCAGCACTGGTCTCCTAGAACTTCCTGGCAGCCTACTGAACCCTCCCTTAAATATCAGGCTCCTCTGGGAGCAGGAGGCTCAAAGTCCTGAGCAGGGGATGTTCTGGCCAACCTTCAGCAGGAGGGTCCAGCTGAGACCACAGGGTTATTTACTAAGGAACCTACTTGCTACAAGAGAAACTGTTTGCAAGTCCTGGTCTGCCAGTCTGAAACTTAATATGCCCTCGGTCCAGCCTTACTTGGCATAAAAAAAGTTCCAGTACCTCCTGCTCTTTTGTTTTTGGGGTGGGGGTGGAGTACCACAAGCTGGTCAGCCTGCCTGGGCTGAGTCCCTCATGCAGCAGTGACTAGTATGCTGCCAGCAGAAAGACTCACAGAACATGGCTCTCTCATCCACAAGTTCTGTGCTTTAGGGTGACTCTTGAGAGTCTCTTCCCCTGGAAAGCTTTCCTCATCTCCCCAGGACAGGACTCCCCTACAGTGCCCACCCACACCTTTCTATTATTACATTCAGTCTTGTGAAAAATATCTTCCCTACAAGACAAAGACTTACAAAGTTCTCACTCATCTCTGCATACAGTGAACACAATAAAATGTGTTAAGCTCAACTGTTCCAGTGCTTTGAAGCCTCAGTTTCCACATCTGCGAAATAGCAAGTCATTCTTTAGAGGACTGGTGCAGGTTAAATGAGAAATCTGAATAACTCAATAAGGGATTGTAAATCCTCCAGGGGACCATCTTGGAGACTGAATTGTCATGGCACATTTCCACAATGGCCCCCAGTCCCCTACTACTGTGCCCTGCCTGGCACAGGACAGAACCAGAGATGGGGGAACCAGCCACGATATTGGCCTTGTGACAGCCTCCTTCTGGCTGGTGCTACCCACTCTGGGCAGCCTCCAGTGATAGACCTGCATGGCTCAGAAGCTTAAGCTTTTTGCAGGCAGCAGGCCAACCACCTGGCACAGGAGTGGGATTGTGAGCTCTAGACCCAAACCTCCAAGACAACACATGGCGTAACTTTGTTGGAAGTCCTGGGACTCCCTATAAAGAAGGTCAACCTTCTCCAAGTCCCAATTCTGTATACACCAAGGTACAGATAGAGTAGCTGAGCAGAGAAAGCAACTCATCTCCAGAGACACTTTACCTCAATTTCAAGCATTCAGTAGTGTGAACGAGATTCAACCTTCAATAACAACTTCATGGTATTAACAGGACCATTTGGCAGAGGAAAACTTAAGTCCCAGAGAAGTTAATTAACTTGCTCAAAGTCAAACAGCTATGATGATGACACTGGAATGCCAATCAAACTCTTGGTTTCAGTGTCTATGCTACATTTTTGTTTTTTGATTGTGGGTAGGGAATAGGTAATGAGGGATAAAAAGAAAAGTCCATTTATGTTTCCTAGTGACAAGATCCAATCTGTCCTTGGGGCCTCACTGGCCTCAGCAATACCTTAGCAACAGCTGCACACCAACCACCCCAACCGAAAATGGCCATCCTGCCCTGAAATTTTTATGGCCTGTTTATTTTGCTTGTTCTGAGCTTCATGATTAAGACCACAGCTCACTGCTAGCTTCCTTTCCTTTCACTGCTATCTGCTTTTTTGTCAGGCCTGGCAGAAGCAAGGTCTGGCCCAAAGCACCTCCTGAGAATGCATAGCCCTGACTTCATATAGAGGTTCCTTCCCCGCCCATGGAATCAAAAGATTCCACACAAGAGATGTGGCCCAGGCCTATGTGCCCTACTTTCCTAACTATTTTAAGCCAGAAAGCTAAATTTTGCTTTCAACCAGCTGAACAAGATCAGCCCTTAGCCCAGCACTGACAGGAGTACCCACTCCACCCCGTATCAACTGTGAACTAGAAGTCACAGGCTGAGCTCACCTCTTTGTATCCCATGGCTGGGTGAGATACCATAGTCATTCCATACAGGTGGGTAAGGCCTGGGTCTCAGGCATGTGGCCACCACAACCACTGACCATGCAATGATTAAAAGTAGCAGTAAGTAAGCAATTAGCCTTGAGGTAATCATTCTAATTAATCCGACTGAAATCTGTTTCAATGTGTCCATTCACCCTACAAGAAACAGGAGGAGGAGTATGGTATGAAGAGGAGGTAAAATATATTTAGTTCCCTAGAGAACAGCATTCAGAGAGGATCCGCCCAAGCCCAACAGGGGAAGGTTACAAAAACACAACTGCTGACTCAGTTTGGAAAGAAGTTTGCAGCACTTCCAGAAGGGTCTATGAAACCTTGCTCTAAATACCCACATTGGGACACTGTCGAGTCAATGTGTGCCACACACTAATATCCATGGTGACAACTATTAATATAAGAGTGTATTCTGGCCCTGGCAGGTATGGCTCAGTGGATTAAACGCCAGCCTGCAAACCAAAAGGTTGTTGGTTCAATTCCCAGTCAAGACACATGCCTGGGTTGCAGGCTAGGTCCCTAGTTAGAGGCACGGGAGAGGCAACTGCCCTTTGATGTTTTTCTCCCTCTTTCTCCAAAAATAAATAAAATCTTAAAAAAAAAAAAAGAATATATTCCGGCTATATTGATTTGGATAGGTATAGATAGCACTGCCACAAACAAATGAAGTCTGAATCAGATAAGAATTCCTAGATCCCTTCCCCATCTGCAGAGAACCAGTCTTCATCAGTCATTCCCTTCCAATGTCAGCCTTACAACTCCTTCTCACCCCTGGGCTGGGATACACACTACGAAGTGAAAGAAAGCTTCACCTTTTTACCAGCTTGGGTTAGAACTCAAGCGGGATTTGAAAAGAACCACTACTAACAAGCAGGTGTTCACCCACCTGCACACCAAGTAAGCTGAGAGTGCTAAGGGAGCAGGTGCTATAAGATTTCAATTAGTGGGGGTGTTCAGAACCCAGGAGCAATGGTTCACAACTGGGGATGATTCTGCAACCCCCAAAGGAAATTTGGTAATATCTGGAGACATTTTTGATTGTCATAGGTGTTACTAGCATCTGGTGGATAAAGGTCAGTGATACTGCTAAACATTCTAAAATGCATAGGACAGCCTCAGCACAACAAAGAATTAGCCAGCCCAAAAGTCAATAGTACTGTTGTTGAGAAGCTTTGATCTAGAGCTTTACCAAGGCATGCCTCACCAGACTCTCTACTTCAGGTCCAGGCTGGATGTAAGGACTAATAACTTCAACTGCCTTAAGTCAGCACCTAACCATGCCCCTTACCTATGACTATTCCCTACTACTACAGCCAAAGCCTCATTTGCTTGGCTAACTCCTATTCGACCTTCCAGTTCCAGCTTAATTACTCCCCAAAACTTTCAACATCCCAGAATGGGTTAAGATGTCCCTTCTCCCCCCTCAACATACTCCTGCAGTTAACTTCCTGGGCTATAACTGTCTGCAGTCTCCACTGACTTGCAAATTCCATGAAGGGAAAAGCCATGTTTTAGGCTCCACCAAATCCCTAGCCCCTTCTCCAAAGAGTAAGGACAGAGAATCATTAAATGACTGCACAGAAGCAAGTACCCATTTAAGTGCCAGGTCCTATATCATACACCAAATCATTTAATTCAAATCATTTAATTCTAATAGGCTTTGGATGTTAGCATCACCCCCCACTTTACAGATGAGAAAGCCAGGACAGATGATGCCCAGGAGATCCCAAAGCAAATGGGGGTTGGACTCAAAGCCTGGCACAGCACTTCTAACTCTACAGCCAAGTCAGAATGGGGCGGGGCAAGGGGGGGCGGGGGTGAGGACTAGGAAAACTTTAGGACTTTATTATTCTAAAAAAAAGATTGAATGACTGTTCACTAATAGACCTGCTTTTAAAAAGTTTTTATTTTTCAATTACAATTTACTTCCAGTATTATTTTATATTGGTTTCATGTGTACGGTATAGTGGTTAGACAGTCATTCACTTTACAAAGTGTTCCCCAGGCCTGCACTTTAAGAACATGCAACTTGCCCTGCCTGGCGTAGCTCAGTGGATTGAGCGCCGGCTGCGAACCAAAGTGTCACAGGTTCGATTCCCAGTCAGGGTACATGCCTGGGTTGCAGGCCATGACCCCCAGCAACTGCACATTGATGTCTGTCTGTCTCTCCCTCCCTTCCCTCTCTAAAAATAAATAAATAAAATCTTTAAAAAATATTTTTAAAAAACATGAAACTTTGCTCTTCAATACAGGGGTGTTCATGTATACCGAGGTGCAGGGAGTCTCAAAGTCACAAACTGCCCCTTGTGATCTCATTACACACCTGACTACTATTTACACCTTCTAAACAACCGTAAGGGTCTGTGACTATGTGAAAATTAACATCCTATTAAGAGACCAAATGCTCTTGTATGAGGTCCTTTCAGCATCTAGTACCCTTCAATGAAGTCAGACACCAAGCTGTCTTCCACAGCAAACCACCTGAGAGGGGCTCCTCTGGAAATCCCATCCTAAAGGGCTAGGACGTCAGTCTGGGAGAACCATGTATAGGACTCAGGAGCTGAGAAGCCCAAATGACAAAGAGGCAACTAACACATTAGAAAGCCTAAGTACTATTTCTGTTTAGAGCGACTTCCCAAAATTTCCCACCATAAGGCCTCAGGTATCACAAGGTTCTGATGCCACCTCAGATAAGGAAGCAGCTTCAGCTGTTCAACTCAAATTAGATGACCTGCTCCTGATATGAAGAGGGCTCCAGGGACCTTGCTTCCTGCCATGATCTGCCTGCACTTCAGAGTTTAAACTGCTTGTAGCAAAACCTCAGCATGTCCTGATCCCACAATAGAATCTCGTGGTCAACCAAGCCCCTCTGAAGAGCTGAAGACTACACCTCCTAAAAAGTTTTGGGGATTACTGAAGTACACTGCTAGAGTTACCTGTTTCAGGACTAGAAGGAGGCAGCATCCAGGTAAATGTTTTGCTTCATGTAAACAGCAAAGAAGCTCCAACAGGCAATCCTCTCTGGGGGCAATGACTAATTCTCAGCAGAGTATCAGGCTCAAAAGAGGTCAAGAACCTAAATTCTGCTGCTGACATAACTACAAGACCAAGTTCCAGGTAAAGAGACCAGCTTTATTTTGTTTCATTTGATCCTGGTAACAAGTAACACATTCTTACAAAGGACCAATAGGCTCTACTGCACCCACAGGGACTGAACTTTTAAGTGTGGGCTGCACTCTGTGCCTGGTCCAAACACAACTCCGTTCAATTCTAGGGAAGTCACTCCCCCTCTTGGAAATGGAAAATGTGTATCAATTAAATATGCTCAGGGGCCTTCCTCCGTATTTTTTGTTAAGAAATCCAAAAACACTTTCTCTGCTAAGGAAACCACGAATACCCAAGTTGGAAAGATTCTGAAATGGTAAGTTTAACTCATTTCTCAGAAAATCACAGATTTGAAAACGGAGGTCCAAAATAAAAGTGACTTGCTAAAAAACACAAAGAGAAATTCCTAAAATCTTATTTAGCCTTATGGAAAGATTAATTCTCAGTCATGTCCATGATCACATCAAACCTACCCTCGGGATACAGAATTCTAGATCGTTCCCTGACCCTTCCCTGCTTTCATACTGCATGTTTTAAACGCACACCCCTGAACGGGTTAGAACTGTAAAGTGAGGGCTCCAACTGACTCCTGCCACCTGGGTCAAGGTAGGCAGTTAAAGCAGCAGGCCCGCCCCCTCCTCCCAGGTGGGTTACCTGAGCACAGTCACGCTCCCCCTGCGCACTGGCAGGGAAAGCACAGGTTCCGACACCCGAATAGGCTTGAACTGGAACTTGCAGCCGAAGCACAGCGCGGAGTCGCTAAAGAAGGACACAGACACGATGGGGCGCTCGAAGATATGGATGGGGTCCACGTGGGACACGATGCAGCCACCGGGCTGGTAGTCGTTGATGACGGCACTGTTGACGAAACCCTCGGGGATGACGCGGTGCTCCACCAGCTTCTGGATCACCAGCTGGTGCACCCACTCGGGGATCTCATCCACGTCGCCTGGCGGGTAGAGGCGCTCCTGGCCGGGCCCGCGCTTCTGCAGCTGGGCGCCATACGTGTAACCCTCGCCGAAGAAGTACTTGTTGCGCAGTGGAGCCCGGTCCACCGTGTGCTCATTGTACAGGCCCTTCTCGGCGCGGGACACCACCTCGTCGATGCGGGCCTCGATCTTGGCGCACTCGTCCTGGCTGAAGAGGCGCATCTGCCGGATGCCGCTCTTCACCTTGCGCGCCTCCTCCTCCTTCTGCAGCTGCTGCTCCTCGTAGTCGCTGCGCTCGGGGTCCGAGTCTTCCTGGTACTTGCGCTTGGCCCCAGACACCGGGTAAGGCTCGGCGGCGGCCGCGGCCGCGGCGGCGGCTGCCACAGCAGCCGCGGCTGCCGCCGCTGCCTCCCGACTGCCCGTCTTATAGTTGTCCCGGGACGTCATGGACTTGAGCTTTTCACGCAGGTCCGTGTAACCGCTGGCGGCCGCCATAGCCCCGCAACGCTGCTCAGGGTCCTTCGGGGCGGGCTGGGCGGCCGGGCATGGCTCTCGGGGGATGCGCCCCGGGGCCCCCGAGGGGAAGGGGGTCCTCAGCGTCAGGCCCCCATACGAGGACCCGCCGGGGGAAGTCGAAAGACCAGGTGCTGGGTCGAGCCTCAGAGGCGGCGGGTCATGCAGCAGTGGAGGCTACGGTGCTTCCTCCTCCTCCACCTTCTCCACGTCCCGGGCAGCAGGAGAACCAGCAGCACCTCATGCCGCGGAGGACGACTGCGCAGGATCAGCTTGACTCCAGGCCAGCCCCTCCGACGCCAGACCCAACCCGCACTTTAAAGAGCTCCTCACGACGTCACGCACCGCTCGCTCGACGTCCGCCAGCGCCGCTCCTCAGAAGATTCGTCAACGCGCACGCGCACTGACGCCGGCCACCGCGGCTCCGCGATCAGCGGACATGCGCGAGCGTGCGGGCCGGGTCAGCAGGGATGAACGCGCAAGCGCAGACAGAACAGCTCCTCGTCCACCCCTCCCCCACTCTAGAAGGACTCCAAGAGAGCACTCTCAAGTAGCAACCTGCTTCCACGCCGTGCCACCTCCACGACCGAAGGGCTCCCTCCACAGGGGTGCTCTCACACTGCCAACGCTGTCGCTACACTGCGTCACGGCATCGTCCGACTGTCCGAAAATGCCTCAGCTCCCAACAACCTAGGCTGGCGGTTACCGTCCCTTTTGGCGCTTTCACTTCTTTCAAGAGCCACCAGCCACGCGCCGGGCGGGCCCAGACGGGAGCTTCCTGAAGGTGGTTGGTAATCATGCCTGTCAATCAGGCGGTCGCCTTGGCTACTTCATCCGTCACTTAATTAGCGGCGGGGAGGGCCCCTGAAGGGTGAATAGGTGGCTAAGTAAGTGCCTGAGTAAAGGTCTTACTGGAAGAAAGCTCTCAGACGCTTAAAAAAAACTTCTGAAACTAAGGAACCGAAAGCCCTGAGTCCCAGCTCTGAACTCAGACAACGATGTTCACAGGACCTGTACGCATTGACTGGGGACCTCACTGCCCGCCCTGCGCCCCGCTGCTGCCCGGAGCGGACGTTCCAGGAGTCACGTCCGGGGGCGGGGGCGGTGGGTGCATGCGCAGTTGGGGGACGCTCCGGGTTTGGCTTAGTTTCTCTTTGGGGCTGGAGATGGGGTTGAGGGCAGCTCTCCCGCGAACGCCCGGAAACTGAAGGGGCAAGTGGCTCACGGATAAGGCAAAACTATAGATTATTACTAGAGACAATTCAAAAGTTTTGAAGCGTGGGTCAGGGTTCTCGGCGTGAGCAAAGGCATGGCAATTCAGGGTGCGCAGGGGCGGGGCCACAGATAGTGGTTTGTGCTCAGCCTCATTCATCTGCTTTGCTTGGCGTTCAGGGCCTTTGTTGAAGATTTTTTTCTGCTCCTTTCCGTGAAAACTGAGCTGCAGTCTCGCCCTGACACTACCAGGTCTGCAGACATACCCTGTCACACCTCCTGGCCTTTACCCAAGCTACTGCTTCCACCCATCTTTGATTTTTTAAAAAAAAAAAATTCAGTTCACTTCTTTCCAGCACACTTCTCAGGTTTTCACTAGAATAATATACATATTAAGTTTCATGATCTGGTCTCTGCATCTGCCTTCAACCTCAACTCTCTGGCCGTTCTGCTCCCTCCCCACCCGCAGTGTGTCCAGCGTAAGCACAGACTCTAGATTTGACTTTTGACCTCCTGACAGGCTGTATGACCATGGGCAAGTGACTTCCCTTTCTGAGCCTCAGTCTTCTGGTCTGTAAAATGGGAGCAACATTAGTGCCCACCTCATATGATAGTTGTGAGGATGAATTGAAGTCATATATGTTAGGCAGAGAGGATGGCTGATCTTGAGTCTGGGTCTCAGTCTCTGCATCTGTAAACTGAGGGTCCGACCAGTCTCTGTTGGGAGGTGGAGGTTGTTGTGTAGTCATTTGACAAGGCCAGAACATCAGGGTCTGCAGAATGGGGAATTCTGGACCCCTGGGCACTATCCCCAAGCCCCTTGCTGGGTCACTTGCAAAAGGCCACACAGCAAATCAGCATACATATGTGGAATTTGAACATAGGCCTTTCTGGGTCCACAGCCTGGGCCTTTAACTACCAACCCAAGAGCTTTTGAAGAGTTTGGAGGACTCTGGGCAGAAGGAAGCACCTCTGTGTAGGGAAAGACCAGGGTGGTGTGTACATGGACACTGGAACCTGGGCGAGTCCAACCACCTGTCCCACATAGCAACGATAAAGTCCTTCCCGTTATTTTTCAGTATGCAGATATGGTGCATCTTGCTACTCCACTCTGGGATCCCAAGCTTTCACCAGTTGTCTCATGCTACCAGGCCACCCAGACATTTATCCTGTGTTTTTCTCACCCCATGGTAGGCTGTAAACCCTGAGGCGTGGTCCCTCTTCTTTGGATCTCCCCACATCAGCCCGGAGTTCTTGTCTCTCTAGGCCTTGGCTCAGGTAGGGAGACCCAACAGGAAGAGTCTGGGAGATACAGCAGGGTTTGACTCTCCTGCGACCCCTAACTCCAGTCTGCCTCATGGTGATTACCTCTTCTTAAGAGGGCTCAACTCTCTGATGCCAGAGCCACCAAAACAACTATTAAAACATGAGCTCCATGCCTTAACGCCCAAGTCCTGAAATGAAATCTAAAAGCTGATGTTTTGCTTAGCCAATGCTCTGTAACAAAGCACCCCAAAACTGAGATCTCAAGTCACTTATCCAGCTTGCAGACCTGCAGTCTGGCCAGGGTTCAGTCAGGAAGCTCCCCCAGTTCTGTATGCATCAGCCAGGATGGCTTGACCTGGAGGTTCCGCTTCCAGGTGTCTTCACTCATTTGTCCTCCTCCTATTCTGAAACCCAAAAGGCCTCTTCACTCTCACCTGGGCAGATCTACTACAGCAGGGATAGCTCCTTATGGCTCTTTCCCCACTTCCCTTACCTCCCAAATTAGTTGTGTGCAGTGGATTCTTCATCTTGGGGCTTCTGGGGGAAGCCAGCCTGAAGCACTGGTGGAAGTGGGATATTCCTGTGGTATCTCTTCCTTAACCCTCCCTGCCTCAGGATGGTCTGAGTGATCCTCAGTCCTGCCCATTGGACCTCCTAAATCTCTCCCAAGGTAACTTCTCCCAGCCCTGTCATTGCCATGGGTGTCTACACCAAAGTTTCCCAGCTGACACTGCAGTAGCCTCTGCTCTGATCCCCCTGCCTCCTGCATGCACTTAGCTTTGTGGTCAGAGTGACCTTTTCAAAATACAATCTGAGCAGGTTGCCCCACCCCAATTAAAAAACCTTTGAAGGCTCTTCATATCTTTTGGAAGGAAATCTTGCATAGTCTGCAAAGCCTTAGCCAGTCCACCTCTGCCAGCCTCCAGTCTCCAGTCTTGTCACTAGTTATGTCCACCCCTAGTTCCTGTGCGTACTGTTTCCTCCTCTCATCACCTAACTGATTCCCACTTACAGGTTTTGTCCTGGTTTATAGTTTAACTGTGAGCTACTCCCAGTGCCTACACAGTGGGCTTAATAGGTATTGAATAAGTAGATAAATCCTTCCTCTGACACTATGGCTCCAGCCAATTATGCCCCCACACACCTATCCAGACATCCTCTCCCAAGTCTAGTGCTCCCCTTCCCCAGTATCCCCCAAACACCAGCAATTCCCATCAACATTCTTTTATTCATGTGACAAGTATTTTTCAAGTGCTACTTTGTGTTAGGCATTGTCCTAGGCTCTGGGCGATATACTAGGGAACAAACACAATTTTCTCTGGAATGTCCATTCCCCTCCACTCCACCTATTCCTAGCAAACTACTCATCCTTCCAAACCGAACAGCAAAGTCCTATTCTCTGGGAAGCTCTTTTCCAGACTCCTCCCTCCCCAGCCCCTGCCATGAAATGTCTCCACTATACCACTGCTGAACCTTGTGTGGTCCATCCAGGGATGGGGGTCGGGTTGGGGCTACCCAAAGAGTATGGAAAGGGGACATGGGCCTGCAGGGAGAGGTAAGGACAGATGTCTCTGCTGCAAGTTCTGTTCATGGGCAGTGAGTCAGGCACAACTAGGCCTCCAACTCCTGCCCCCTCTCTCAGACTTGTTTTCTAGCCACCCAGCAACTACATGGAGGAATGGGTGCTTGGTGCACCTTTGATTTGCACAGGAATGATCAAGGGTCATGAATCCAATCTGAGCGGCAGTGCAGCGGGCACCCAAGGAGGACAGGTGAGGAGCTGAGATGTGGAACAAATTTGAACATCAGATCCATCAAACCAAAGGCAAAGTCCAATTCATCCAGGTGTGTGGCTTCCCTGCCACAGGTGGGAGTTGGGCAGGGCCTGCAGTGTGTACGTGGCGGGAGGCCCCATGGGGCAGACTTTGGAAGTTCATCCTGCTATCTGACCTAAGATTGCATATTTTGACTCCATCCCAACTCTAGATGGGTCTTGGGTTCCTGGGGGCTTGGGTCATTCCTCCTGCCACCTCTTGGTCACCTCCAAGGTTTTGGCCCTTATAGGGGTCACTGGCCCAGAGAGACCCAGTGACTCCCCTGGGGCCACAGAGCAAGCCTTCTGGCCGAAGGCAGCTGCAGAGCTGGGGGCCAGGTCAGAGCAGTGTGATCTCACTTGGGGGCAGTGTGAGCTGCTTCTCCCTGGCACTGAGCAGGTTCTCCACGTGCACAGCCACCACTCGACACAGCTCCAGGCCCTGCAGCAGAGACAGCGGAGAGCCCACATTTGGCAAGGGGCTGGTGAGATATGGAGGCCAGCCTCCCCAGCCCCCTAGGGCCCTGGGAAGAGCATAAGAAGCTGGAAGGAGGACTGCTGGGCTGTCTGACAGAAGGGGAAAGCAAGCAGGAGAGCAAGAACACCTGCCAGCCTTGCTGTGTGTGACCTGTGTAAGCTGGGGTCTGCTTCTTCTCCCTGAGCCTCAGGCTTCATCTGTGGGGCCTCAGTTTACCAGGGCCTGTGTCATAGCACTGTGGTGAGGATTCCATGGGGTTTTATTTTGTGTAAATCCTTTAAGATTTAAAAAAAATATTAATCCAGTCCATAAGTGGTAAGTTTCTAACTATGTGTGGGCACAGTTACCACCTGGCATCCACAGCCCAGAATAAGGGATGACCCAGCCTCAGGGCTACCAAGGTGGGGGGTGGGAGCAGCAAGGAACAATGGAAAATCCATCTGTGAGCATAGTTCTCAGGCCACAGCCAACTGGAATCCCCCTGGTAATGCCCCTGGCCAGCAAGAGCTGCTCAGAGAGGGCAGAAAGGAGGAGGGCAAAACTACGGAGTGGCAACTTTGTGCCAGGTGTTGTCCTGAGTACTACCCCTGCCAGTCCCCACATTGTCCCTATGGGGACACTCTTAGATCCCATTCCACTGGTGAGGAAGCTGAGGCCAGAGCCATGAAGCCATTTATCCCAGACCTCACAGCACGTAGGTGGTACAGATTTGAACCCAGGTGGGAGGAGGCGCAAGGCTGCACTCTGAACTGCTTTCTGCTGAGGTAAGCTGGGCCTGTCCCACCCTAGGGGCCCCTTCAGCTAATGGGCAGAGAGAACCTCCCTCCCAGGCACTTCTGCCCACTTGCTGCAGTGCTCCAGACCTCCCTGGGGTTATTGCCCCACCTGACTGGGGTGGGGATTGAGGCCCAGGGAGAAGCAGGGTTGCTCAAGGTACCCTCACACAGCCTGTCAGAGGTAGGCAGGATAGGGACCCAGGTCTGTTGACTGTGTCAGTGCTGCACTCAGACGTTACTACCTCCTGGAAGCCTTCTCCATGACTTCCCAGGTAGCTCAAGTGCACCCTCTCGGCACTGGTCCTCCTGATTTATCTGAGAAATTCTTTGATATCCGTTCCTCCCACAAGACTTGGGGCTCAGTGAGAGCTGGGCCCAAGGGGATTTCAGTCACTTCAGTATCCCTGCTCAGAGCCTGCTCGGTAGTTATGAATGACACTCGAATGAATGTGTCCCCTGCCCAACACACACACATGCAAGAGGCAGAGGTGGCAACA